TTTGGGCAGCCATCAAAGGTGCAATTATGGGTCTCTGTCTGGGTCAAGTAAGAGTGAAGAAAAGCAAAGGTGTTAAGAAAAGAATTTGTCCCAAGGACAAAAGCACCATGTGCATGAATTGCACATACCCTTTGTGACCTGAGACCAGCAGAGCTAGATAGTGCCCAGGACCACTGCTGATTAATCTGAAAAGGATCACAGTCAATGGACCTAGATTGAGTGTGAAGAAAATGTGCAATAAAACTCATAATAATAAGAAATAATAGACTTACTGCCCTTGGAGAGCGGGTGGAATCCTTGAAACTAGGGATGCTAGATACCCTTCAGACTTGGAACTCAACACACCCCTGTGGCCCCAGGTTCAGCCAAGTGGTCTATAATGTGAACAGAAGGAAGTCCAGAGGCAGGAAGGGCAGGGAAGAAGAACAAAGGGAAGCGGAAAGGAGGAAGAAGGGAGGAGGTCGAATGCCTTTCTATTACATCGTGGGATTACCATCAGTGTCAGGGGACAAGATATGTGTGGATTGGTGAACGGCAAATCAGTGCACTCTATAAATTCTCACCGAATCACAACAAGTTAAATAAAGACCGAGAGTGATACTGGTAAGTGGCGAAAACCACAGGAGATTTGACCTTTTGTGGCTTGAGAGAAGGAGCCCTAATGGTACAGGAGAAAGATGAGGCTGTCGGCTTCCATCAAGATGTATAGCCTTCCTTTGGAAACCCGGGGGGTGGTGGTGGGGGGGGGTGGTAGTTCCACCCTGTGCTATAAAGGCTGCATAGGGTCACTTTGGTCAATTTGGATGGAGAGTGGGTGTGATTTGGTTCTGTTCTGGCCGGGAACATTGGGATGATTTGGAGGAAAACCTAGCTGGTGAGGGCTGAGAGAACCCTGCAAAGGACTGGGACCACCAGTCACATGCTATATTCCCAGGGACCATAGTGTGTGTTTTAATTCTGTCTGTCCATGTCTCTCTCTCTCTATCACACACACAGACACACACTGTGTGTGTGTGTGTTTCCTTTCCATTCAGTCTCTGGTGCTGGGTTTGGACTCTCCTTAATGTTGGTTTGGATTATTGGGAGAACCTCCTCCTTAGTTGGTTCACATTTATGGTCTTGCCTTTTCTCCAGCTCATCCTCTGTGTTGCTTGCTCAAAACAGCATCATGCCTCTATGTGGCCTTTTATGAAGTTCAAACTCATGGTAATAAGGAAATTCCCTAATGATCAGCCGTTTCCACTGTTTCAATCTTGTCTACTACAAATCTCCCTGTAAACATCTTTCAATTTATGTGTGATCATCTTGGGTTATTGGAACTAGCACAGCCGCTTATGCCTTTGTGCTTTGAAAACACTGTAAGTCCCGGGAATGCAACTAGTCCATCTCTTTACAAATTAAAAACCAATTCTCTCTCCTGGCAGAGTGTTCCATGGGCACTCAGATAGGAGAGAGATGTGCCATTTTGAGCAATAGAAAAGACACCTCCTCTGAGCTGAAACAGCCTCACGTCAGGGTTCATGGTTTGGTGAGCAAGCTCTGTTACAGCCATTTCTCCCTTCTCTGTTGGGCTGCCCTGGGCAGAAAACAACCCACCCAGCAGAGCTCAGCAGCCTTCTTTCCATCCTATCCTTTTCTTCCTGGAAAATGTTCAATGGTTTAAAAAAAAAAAGGTCTCTATTTAAAATGGTTACCTGTAAGAATATATCCTTTTATGCGATCATCAGCCTCTTGAGGAACCTGAAGAAAGCTATGACATAGTTTCAACATGCAGCTTGTCTATCAACTTGAAAATAAAAACTACATGCCAAGTGCTATTCAACTGTTTGACGCCAGGGGCACCGCATGGAATTGGGGTAGTGGTTACATGTTGGGTTCCAACCGCAGAGTCAGCAGTGTGTGACCAGCAGCTGCTCCAGCAGAGACAGACAGTGCTTTCTACTTCTGCAAAGACTTTGTGTGTGTGTGTGTGTGTGCATCTTTTTTTTTTTTTATCATTTTATTGGGGACTCATACAATTCTTTTTCTTATGTTTATCTTTTAAAAAAAAATCATTTTATTAGGGGCTCATACAACTCTTAACACAATCCATACATACATCAATTGTGTAAAACGCATTTGTACATTCATTGCCTTCATCATTCTCAAAACATTTCCTTTCCACTTAAGCCCCCAGCATTAGGTCCTCATTTTTCCCCTCCCTCCCCGCTCCTCCCTCCCTCATGAGCCCTTGATAGTTTATAAATTGTTATTTTGTCATATCTTGCCCTGTCCGACGTCTCCCTTCACCCACTTTTCAGTTGTCTGTCCCCCAGGGAGGAGGTCACATATAGTTCCCTGTAATCGGTTCCCTCTTTCCAACCCACTCTCTCTCTACCCTCCCAGTATCGCCACTCACACCACTGGCCCCGCAGGGATCATCCGCCCTGGATTCCCTGTATTTCCAGTTCCTATCTGTACCAGTGTACATCCTCTGGTCTAGCCAGACTTCTGCAAAGACTTACAAATGGGGTTAGACCAGAGCACGCACCCTGCTACAGATTAGAGCCCACGCCACAGGGACTCCCGGATAGAGAAGCCCTCAGGGCCAACAAGGAGAGTAGAGATACCAGGAGGATTAGGGACTGGTGTGGGGAGAAAGGAGGAATTGATCACAAGGATCAATCTAGAATCCCCTCCCAGGGGGACGAATAATGGAAAAGTGGGTGAGGGGCGATGGAAGATGATGTAAGATATGGAAATAATAATCTATAACTTATCAAGTGTTCGTGAGGAAGGGTGGGGGGGAGGGCGGGGGAAGAAATGGGGAGCTGGTATCAGGGGCTCAAGTGGGAAGAGAATGCTTTGAAAATGATGATGGCGGCATATGTGCAAATGTGCTCGACACACTGGATGAATGTATGGATTGTGATAACAGATGTAAAAGCCCCCAATAAAATTATTTAAAACAAAAAAGAATTACAGTTTCAGAAACCCACAGGGACAGTTCTACCTGGTCCTATGGGGTCCCTCTGAGTCCGAATCTACCTGAAGGTGGCAAGTTTTTGTTTGAGGCAACCAAATGAATGCGTGTAGAAAGCTTGAGGTTTTCTGACTGCCACTTTGCGTTTGCTCTCCATTCTGCAGACTTTGTAGAAGAGTCGACAGGACTTTTAGCCACCATGTAACTGTTGTGAGTTGTATACGGTGATTATCTATTAGTGAAGAGATTAAGAGCAGTCAACATCTCAGTTCATTTCTGACCTTGCTAAAGCGACCTAGCCATTTTCTGTTGGTGCCAATATGCTTTTTTCCACTTCTGGAAGTAGTATTCCTCAGCCCGGCTTAGTCGGCTTCTCTAACACTCTGTTGCTGCCTTTTGCCTTCGGGTTGTGCTGGGCTGGGGGAATGGGAAAGTTCCCACCACTGATCACTTTTGGGTTCATGAATCAGGATTTTAGTAAATTGGGATCATGTTGATTCTGTTTCACAATTCTCTATTACTTTGTTTCCTAGGATTTTGTTTCATGAATAATCCAATTACATTGCGTTATAATCGATTCCCTTTGATTCTGTTATTTTTATATTCGGAGATTGAAATGATAATCCACTTTGCTCTCAAAGTATTGTGGTGGTTACCGAGTCACTGCCATCTGATGGGTGCCATTGAGTCCGTTCTGACTGGCAGCCAGCCTGTGCCCCGCCTCGTCCTGTGTCAGCCTCAACACTGGTGTCCTGTTCCAGCCCATTGTTACAGCCGCCTTGCAGTCCCCCTGGTCCAGGGTCTTCCTCTTCTATGCTGTCCTTTCACTTTACCGGGCATGATGGTCTTTCCCAGGGACCGGTCTGTCTTGGTAACGTGTCCAAAGGTCGTAAGACAAGGTCTTGCCATCTTGCCTTTGCAGAGCATTGTGGTTATACTTTCTTCCTAGACAGATCTGGTTGTTCTTTGGCGATATTCTTCACCAGCACCAGCAAGGAATCCCCTTTGCTTTTCAGAATGGGTCCTAGTAAATAGCTCTACCAGTGAAGGCTTTCATGGAGATGAGCAATGTGAGCCGTACAGTCCCCCATCCCCGGTGGCCCCCTGCCCCCAAACCCTGACAAATGGCACCAAGGTTATGTCAGAATTTGGAAATGATGACTTTCCCAGGTCTTCCTGCTGGACAGATCCAGGGCTTTTTGTCAGACAAACCCAGTTGTCTCTCTGGGATTCATTGAAAACCCCACATTTCTTCCGTGTTAGGGGACTTATTTCAAGCACGCATTAACTTGGTGGTCTAGGACTTTCACTTGGCGTCACAGGCAAGTGAAAGAAAATGACAGCCCTATCATGGTAGTAAAACAGCAGCATTCGCGGGTATTCAAGTCGAATTAAAATATGCCAGAGCTGTGGTGATAGTAATATCAAATATGAAATCCTTTGTCTCTATGCGCTGCTAATAAGTAATTTTCAAAAAATGAACTCTTTCCTATTCAAGTGGATGCTTCTTTCGTAAATGACATTTGCTGTTCATTTTTCAACAGCTTTAAGTATCTGAATCTAGGTCAGAAGGGAGTTGGTCTGGTTTATTGGAAAGCTTTGCCTGAGTGCTTTGATGGGAAGTGGTGTGTATATAAGATTTTTAATGAACAATTTAAAGACTACTTACAGTTTTAATTTAACTTACTTGGTATGAAGATCTCATGTTTTCATTTGAACACTTTAGAAGTACTGCTTAAAATGTCAATGTTACTACTCTTTGAATTAAGGAATAAAAGTATAAAACATTGGTGCTTTGATTGTACCCATCAAGTTGGGTGAGGGGAACTATGGAAAAAGTCCTGGGGCTCTAAGACTCCATTGTGGTGCTCGTGGGCAGGCTCTGAGAGGACTACCATCCGGAAACCCAATGTCGGGGTCCGTATTAGACTGTAGAAGCCATATGGGCCCACCGATTTTAGATGGTGAGGGAACTTTAATATCATGATTCCCCTTAAAACTCCATGAATACTTTGCATTTTGATCTTTTCACTTTCAGAGCAACAAACTAGAAGAGAAAAAGAGTCTTCAAGACAAACTCAGAAGAGACGCGTTTAGAGAGCATCACCAATAGTAAGTACTGTTCTCAAAGCTACACACCTTCACAGGTAGGTCACTCACCTGGCCTTTACGCTCTAGGTGATGGTAACTTTTCAAAAGTGCACCTGGTATTGGATTGTTGGCTGTTGTATTAATTGTGTAACTGAACTCTAAGGAACACTCTGAGGTTAGAAACGTACACTCACCAAAGTATCCATTAATCTGTCGATCAGGCTCACCACCAGTGAGTTTGGTAAATGATATGGTAAATGATCTAGCGATCTTGATGCGTTGGTGATCCTGAATACTTCAGACTGTGTTGATTTCCAAAATACCCATCCAGGAAACCAAGCAGGCTCTAACCTAATCAGGCATTCATTTCCTAAATTGAGGACTAATACATAGTTGTCATATTTAAAAATGCACACACACAAAATCTTTCATTGTGAAGTGGGTGAAGCTTGACAGAGCAGATCAGCTTTCCATTCAACAATTCATACACAGGATTTTTCTCATCTTTCTGGTTGCAGTCCCTGCAATACAGCACCACTTAGCCCTCTCCCTCCCTGTGCTTCCTCTTTTCATTCCCCCTTCTTTCCCTCCCAACCCTTCTGGTATTGGATTGTTGACTGCTGTGTTAATTGTGTAACTGAACTATGCCCTTGGGTAAATGCTGTCCTTTTGGTCTCAAATGGGAGATTTTTTTGCCTTAAAAGCAAACAAGGGGTGAATTCATGTCCAGACCTGAAGGGCCATAGTCCCTTGGGGATCAGCTAGTTTCTATCTGATCAGTAAGTCTGTTTTTTTACTATGACTTTGAGTTTTGGTCTACATTTTTCTCTCACGCTATCCCGGGCTTTCTGATGTGAGCCCTTTGAGAGCACTTGGGAGTCATAGCAAGGACACACTAAGTTCTTCTGGTTTCAAGGCCATGGAGGCTGATGCTCATGGGGTACATTGGACTCATTGATTCCATATGTCTTGATTTCCTTTACTTTGCTCTCTTCTGGAACAAGCAAAACCAGTAGTTGCACTATAAATAACTTCTCATAAGCTTTTAAGACCCCAGTTGGTACTCACCAAAATAGGATATAGAACGTTGACTTTGTGAAATATGCTATGCCAATTGACCATGGTATTTCCAGAAACTGTGGTCCTAAGCCCCCAGGTCTACAAAATTATCAAACTTTTCTAGAATGAAAATTGAGAAATCATTAGTCATTATTGGCAAAACTCCCAGTTTGTGCTCATCGGCCTTGGTAATTTTTTCCAGTGTGACTTGTAAGTAAACATCAGCTAATATGAATAGAACAACTGTTATTGTTTTAGCTGCTGCCAAGTCTGCCTCCACCTCATGGCAATGCCATGTGCAGTAGCACAAACTGTTACCTGGTCTTGTGCTATGATGCCCACAACGAGTTAAGAACTGGATGCTTGTGCTCCATAGGGTTTTTATTGGCTGATTCTATCTTAGTCCATCCTCACTCCCAATAGCTAGGTTACCTGCATACTGCTTAAACGAGTCTAGCTCCTGCATACCACATCAAATCCCCAAACCTGGCTTCTGGATGAATTCCAAATGGGGGCTCGCTGAAACGACAGATCTGGGTTCACAGCCCCATCTCCATTCGCCAGATATGACCTTAGAAAAATTATGAAAGCTCTTTAGGCCTCAGTATTCACATTTTAAAAATTTGGCTAGTGATTTACATTCCATAGTTTATTTTCAAGGATGAACCGAAATAACTTATACAAATGTCATAAAGATCCATGTACATTATAGGTTTGCAATGACCCTTCCCTCAGAGAGACAGAGGGTCCAGTTGAATGGGGTGCAGAACCTAGTAATTAGCTTCCCCATTTCATGCGGGTTGTTTGACTGCCTTCTTTCCCCTTTTCCATTACTGCCCCTCATTTACGGGATTCACTCTGGAGTTGAGGTGAGTATAATATGCGTGTTCCTCCTCCCCAAAAGAGCATCCTCTGCTGTTATTATACCACTGGAATGATCCGGCCTCTGTCCTACTCAGCTTCTTCTTGCTTTAAGACTCAGGGGCAGGAAAGGAAAAAATCATTTCTGAGACCTTTATTTTGCCCTTTAGTCCTGTAGGTGGTCTTTGGTTAATTAGTCTAGAAAACCCATGGAAGACGGCACGGTATGAATGCTAACGCGTGATGCTACCTCTTAAAGTGGACACACATCCCATTTTAGCCTCCAAGGCTGCCTTCAAAGCCATAGCCTGTCTCTTCTTACTCTGCTTTACAGGCAGACTTGGGGACAAAGGGGTTGGTGGGATGCTTCAGACCAGACAATGAACTGTCATGAGGAGAGAGGGAGCAGCAGTGTCTTAGTCAGGGTTGACTAGAGAAACAAATTCATGGACACTGTTATGGATATAAGAAAGAGCTTATATACAAGAACAGTTGAATATTGAAAAAACAGCCCATCCCAATCAGATCAAGCCTATAAGTCCGATGCCAATCTATAAAGTTCTCTTCAGACTTATGAAACACATGCAATGATGCTGAATTCAGGAAGATCATAGGGCAGTGGGTTGAAAGTCTTGTGGATCCAGTGGCACTGTAAGCATCTCAGTGCTGGCAGAAGTCTCCACATGGCTTCTCTGGTTCCAGAGATCTGGCTTCATCAGCCTCTCCCCATGTGTCTTCTCCACAGGGATGTATCACAGGGAGTCAGAGTTTCCTGCCTCCAGCGAGCTATTTATCTCATTAGCACCTCCAAATGAGGTCATCAAGCTGTGATTTGATTTGACAGGCTAAACTGTACCCCATTCACTCTTAATCCTCAAAATGACTCCAGACTATCTAACTACCACAAGCAGGAAGGCAGTAGATCAATGGGATCACTATTATTATTTCCTTCTTCATGAGTAGTCACGACATGCCTGTCAGTTTGTCATTTTATGAGGGCTTGTGTGTTGCTGGAAGCCATGTCACTAGTATTTCAAACACCAGTAGATGCACATATTATGGGCAGTTTACAGCCGAACTGTAAAATAGGTGACTAGTCTATCCTTATGAACCACAAGAACGTGATGAGAGCGAGACATCAGGTTTGATGAGGTAGAGGCCCAGGGAGGAGGTGGGAGAACCTCGGCCAGATTGAATGACACATTAGCTGCAGCGGTGGCCGTCAGCGTGCTGATGGTGAGGCTGAAACAGGGCTGGGCAATGCTTTGCTATTTTGTACATGGAGTCGCGACAAGTTGAGGTTGGATGGATGACAACTCTTAACAACCCCCATCAGTGGTTGGCGATTAGATGAGAGTTTGTTTCTAGATCTACTTGGAAGGGTTGAAGGAGGTCAGAGGATGAGATGAGGACATGAGCCTGGAGTCACAAAGAGGAATAAATGAGTCTTGGCTTTGGCACGTTCATTTCATATTACAAAAGGGAAGAGCTGCTTCCCAATGATGTTGGGAATTGTGTGAGTCCTCTGCAGGGTTTTAAGAGTTGTGAAGGATGCGAGATACTTGGGGCTTTAAAGGGCCGTGGAGAGTGTGTCTCCCAGTCTCCTTTCTCTCTGAATTTTCAGGGTCTTAAATTCGTGTTTCACTAAATGCTAGAGATCAATCACCCCCTTGATTTTTCCCTGTAAGGAGAAAAAGAGTTCACCCCTAGACACTGCACACACTATCAGTGAAGCTGAATTCAATTAAATGCCCATTTCCCTCTTGCTCTTTCTTTTGCTTATCACGGAGGTCCCAGTTAACCAGGAAAAAGAGAAGATGCTTAAAAATGAGAGGTATCTCAAATGGATTTTTAAGGCCTATTGAGGAATACAAGAAGAAGGATATGTGTGAATCCTTTAAAAAGTATTTTGTTTTGAATTCCTTTTGAAATTAAAAAAGCAATAGCTCATGAAATGAATGGCCATTGTAGAGGTTCACATACGAAAGGGATTTCTGGAGAAGATGGGCCCAGTGAATAAGAAGTCTTTAGCTGACTTTCTTCCAATGAGTTTATAATAGAAAAAAAAAAAAGTCTAGGAAAACTATTAGAATGTTAACAGCCGAGAGTGTACTAGACCAACCAGGCTGCTCATGTAGGAAGAAGAATAACCCCAAAGGTTGATTATTCTGAAATCACTACACTTAAAATAAACAAATAAGAATCCTTTCAAACAAGCCCGTGCCCCATGTCCTTGCACCTGGCCAGGGTCAGGGTGCTTTCATAGGTGGTTCTAATAGCAGGGCAGGATGCTTTTTTCCCCTTGTGCTGCTAAGCAGGGCAGCCTCGGGCTTGTACAGACCGCAGCTCCAGACAAAGCTGGAGACAAAACTCATGCTACCAACCTGGGCCACCACCTCGTGCATCTTAACGCACTCTTTAACACCTTGCTCTTGACTCTCTTCCTTTGCTTCTGATTATTTTTGGTTCTGTCAATTATTTGGCTAATAGGCAGAAAACTAGGCTTTTATTGACATCCAAAGGGACTCTCCTGAGTGTAATAATGAAGGCAGTTTATTGAACGCCTGTGAGGTTGCTTTCTAATTGTACGCATTAATCTGCCCGTGCAAGCTGGCTGGAAACACACAAGCAGATTGTACACGCAGATGGAACACGCAGGATGGTTTTTATGAAGAGACCTCTGGAATGTACTGTGGCAGTACAGCCTTTTCCTTAAAAATCGGATGATGTGACTCTTTCAATTGGAGGCTGAGAGCAGACCAGATTAATGGAGCATTAAGTCTGCTATTCCGATGGGGATTTGACTCCAATTTCACAATTCAGGATTCGTTGTAGAATTCTTAAGCATAAAACTGGAGAGTAAAATCAAGCCCACTGCCATCAAGTTGATCTCGATTCAGAGTCCTCATGGAGCAGGGCTGCTCCTCCAGGCTTCCTAGGCTGTCAGTCTTTGCAGGAACAGACTGCCTCTTCTCTCTCCTGCAGAGCTGTTGAGGGGCTTGAGCCACTGACCTTGTGGCTGGCAGTCTACTATGGGTCGTATAGGACAGAGAGGACAATTTGACCTCAGTATTGTTTTGACTCTGATGTTTACTCTGTAA